ATCAAAGCAGCTGATATCTGCAGAGGATCTAAACTCATTCTAAACCTATAGTTTGTTAGGCCTAAATTTGAATATTAAACACACACACACACACACACACACACACACACACACACACACACACACACACACTATATGACATAAAACAGGAAATCAATATGGTGCATTTTTTGCTACCATAATTTAAAATTCTCTGCTATTTCTTTCCTCATCTGTGGCATATAATGCTAATTTCTGGCCCTGGTTATTATATTATGGAAACAGGACCTGTTGTAAATATTATTTGCTTTTGCTGATTAATAGACTGTGTTTGTGTGTGATTGTTGATGGTGTTTTGATGTGGAACTGATCCTAGAAATATATGATACATAGTACTTTAGCAAGGAAAATTTGCTCTCACACAGATGCACAGGGTTTGATCTATTTTTGGAAACAGCCATGAGGATTTTATCCACTGCAATTCTGCACACTGCTTTCTGGCTGCATTTTCCGGATAATGCAGAGTCGCTGCTGTCAGTACACACACACAGACAGTGACTGCTGAACAGTGGACAGTTTTGTCCATTGCGGTTGCATAAATTAATTTGCCCTTAGAGGACAACACGCCAACGTATCTGTCATTTCTGCATCCCTTTTCCCTCTGTTTTGTCTCTCTTTCACACAATCAGAATTGATCACATTCCACACGGTGACACATTAAATCACAGTGAAATTTAACATACCTGCCAGACAATGTCAGACTTTATTTGGTCAGTTCTACGGTCTTAAAATGTCTAAGGTCATTGAAAGAGGTTGTCATCAGTATAGTCTCAGCCTGAAGTTCTCCATGGCAGACAGTGCTTTCTATGCATTGTGCTTTCTATAACATGCTTAAGTGTCACATGCATTTGCATTTTCCAAAGAGGAGAGACCACAAATGATCAAAATGTTAAATCTGAGAGACTTATTTGTACTACTGAGACCACTGTTAATTTCAGGTCACTCATTCATCTTATGCGACATTGAGAACGCAGTGTCAACAAAAATACTACGATAAACCGTTATTTCTCAGCCGGTAACTGACTCTCTTGTCCATAACACATTATAATGAAAACATGGCTTGTGTGAGACACAATAAACTAATAACACTTATGTAAGACATTGATTTGAACCCAGACAGGAAAATAGTTACAGTTATTCTTATCAGAACACTTTATTCAACATGCCAATTTCATTATTTGATATTTTTTGTTTTGGAGTAAATCATAAATCCATTGTAAGTGAATTATCCATTTCACTTCAATAGGACAATTTACAAATGAATGTTTGTATGAATGACTTTACATATAATTACATACAATTTACACACATTATTTGCAGAAGGAGAATTTCCAGTTTGGATTTTATCATACTCATAACCTTCTCAGATAAGTGGGGCGGTTGTGATGTCATGGGAGTTGTGATGTCATATAATTAGCAACAGTGATGACATCAGTGTCACGTGAGAAGCAGTTCTATAAGTGGGTAATAGGATCCTGTAAACACCTACACCCCTATACATACAGTATATTGATGTATACACACTCAAACAGCAGTTTCTGGAAAACACATAGTATTCAAATTACTCAATATCATGTGTCAGTTATTGTTTTTTTATTATAAAAAAAAAACAATCTACAACCTCTAAAACAACAACCTCTACAATTCAGTTCTAAAGTGAAAAAATAATTAAGTAGTAATATGGCGACCACAATTGTCTTTTGCCACCAGTTCTGCTTGGAACACTGGCCCGAGTAAACAGATTTGGATTATACCAGATTATTCTAGATTATAGGCCACCACTGCCTCTGTTGTTTTACATGACACTCACACAGCAGTCTCTGTGGGACTTGTGTGTGATGATTCCTTAGCGGAAAATTTTAATGTCATTTTGAGATAGTCGTGTTAGTGATAAATCACAACTATAAGTCAAAGTTTAATTTAAATAGTGTAGAACTTTATGGTAAAAAGAGAATCAGTTATACACATAATGAAACAAAGCTACCAGACCTAAACAAGATCAATCTCAAACATGCTATTTGGGGTAAAGTAAAAAGTAAAGTAAAGTAAAAAGTAAAGTAAAGTAAAGAAGTAAAGTAAAATGAAATATGGTATGGGAGAATATTTGCTTTGTATAGCAAATTATGATCCGCACTCACGAGAACAATCTTCTTTTTTCTTTTCTTTTACATTCATTACTGATGGGAAAAGACACAAACGTTTCGGCTCAAAGCCTTCCTCAGACACACAGATTGTTCTCGTGAGTGCGGATCATAATTTCCTATACTAAGTAACTCAACAGATTGACGCACCAAAATAAAAAGATCAAGTAACGCAAGAGCGCAGTGCAAACGACGTTGTTAAAGAATATTTGCTTTGGTCATCAACATCAGGGATGACCATAGCAAAATATACTATTGGAAAACTAATATGCATATGTGTGTTCTCTGCCCTGCTGGCAATGTATACTTGGCCCATAATATTTGTCAGCAGTTCAATGAATTTTGACCAGTAGAACTGAACATTCATAATCTCTGACAGGTTAAACAACTGTCTCTCTTGCTCTATTCTGCTATCCTTCTCACTACCAACTGTATTATTATCTTTTTGTCGCCCTCCCATTTTATTCATAACTCTCATGCTATCATTCCATCTTTATGCCTTTTTATTCTTTTATTCACATTAGTGGAAAGGATGAGGCAATGAACACCTGACTGCTGTTCAGTTTAATCATTACCTCCGAGTGTCCAGCTAAATGTACTGTGAATAAAGTGCATACATACTTTATTAAAAAACGTTCTTATAAGTACCTAATACACATAAGGAACAACTTAAAATATAACCTTATATGGGACACAGAAAATGGGAGTGTGTAGGATGGAAGTGTAGCTAAATTAAAAGTGTTTCACTATTTCTGCGGCCTTGTTGATAAGGATGGACAAGCTAATTAATTAGATAATCATATGATAAACATGTTGTGTAAGCTTTGCAATAGCACATAACAAGGTCCCAAAAGAATGACTGTGAGAGGAAACAGTTGCATGACTCCAGGAACAGCTCATATCCCCCCCCCAAAAAAACAAAAAACACGGTCATTATTTACTCATTCCATAATATTACAATATAATATTACAGTATAATACTGTACGTCATGTTTTTTTTTTGGTGTCCTTTGATAGCCCTTGGTCACTCTTAACTGCCTTTGTGGTAAAAGCTGTGTATTTATTTATTTATTTTTTATAGATTAAAGTATTATAATAATTTCTGAAGGATCATGTAACACTGCAGATTGGAGTAATGGGTGCTGAAAAGTCAGCACTGCCATCACAGGAATAAATTACATTTTAAAATATATTACAATAGAAAACAGCTATTTTAAATTGGTGAGCATAAGAGACTTAGTTTGAAAACAAAACAATCTTGTTAAATCAAGCCATACATCAGTGCTACATATGTGAGTGCTACTCTATTCATATCAGCATTACATAACAGTGAAGATATAGCCTTTATCTTCTAGTGTATTTACACATTTTTCAGCTTATGCCCCCAAAAGGATTTCTGGGTTTATGGGACAACTACCTTTTCTCCATTCACATTGTGCATCTTGCTAAAAATACAGAGATGGTTGCCATAGTAATCCATCATTATTACAAAACCCATTCTCACAGCAACATATGAGGAAAGGGGATGTCATGGGAGCGGTAAAAAGACAATTCATACTGACAGCACACAAATGTTCAAAGAAAACTATAGATCTAACCACTTCAGTCAAGGCCAACATGATATTACACCCTAATGCCTACAATTAAAACTAGACTAAATTATACTGAAAGTGCATAATTGTCATAAATCAAGACTGTAAAGAAGTCTAGAGGTTTTCAATCACCACATTTCTGTGGAGAAAAATTTATATATGAATGTGGAGAAAAGTGAACCATAATATTTAAGGCATTCTAAGTAATCAGACATTTCCTTTCTTGAGGGAAATTGTAGCAAACACATGACTACTTGCAACTACTTGGCGTCGTCCATCCGCACTGTTTGGACAGCATTCCATGAATATTTTCCACTTAATGTTTGTTACCTGGTAACATTTTGAAATTTCAAACCAATTGCTCTCTTCCAGAAAGCTTTCACGTGTTGACCTGATTCAGAATGTGCCAATGGTATTTCCCACTTACGAGTAGTTTTCCGGCATTTGGAATGTAATCCAGAGCTTTCCTTGGTAATGTGAGTACTAATACAGCTGAGACAGTCACAGACTGCACCAAGGACACGAGAGGACAAACATATATGGTGGATGACCCGTAAAATGCAATATCTACTAACACATTATTCCACATCCATACACAACATCCTTAACTCAAGAGAGGTCACATGAGGAAACACACAAGCAAGCCACTACAGTCTGCATGTACGCAGTTCTAACATACAATCCAGCCCAAATCCCTTGCACTCCTGCGCAAATACACCCACAAATAACAGGTTTAGAGAGTGCATGTGGAAAGCTTTTAGTGAAAGGTTTAGCAAATCCGTAATATGCCTGCTGGGGCTCGGCCAAAGCAGCAGTGAGTTGTACATCTGGTGTCCGAATCCAGTGTCCTCTGACAAATGAAAGCCATGTGCCTTATTTATGGTTTAAAAAGGATTTTGCTGCATTATATCTTGTATCAAGAGCATACAGCCTACTTTTGAAACATGTACACTGACCAGGGTCTGAATCTACTGTAAAAGTACACTGCTGTTTACACATTAGTAGCCATAGACTTTGACCGAATTGAATCTGCCTTTGGAGGCCTTGCTGCATGGCTATTTATTTCAAGTACACAAACATATGCGCTAACCGGAGTGCTGTTATTAGTTGGCTTTTGGTAATTGTAGTTGTCAAAGTCATAAGTCACATCAGACATCAAAGAGGACATATATCGTGCTCATGCCATAATCTCTTTTTTTTTGTACAAAACAAACTCAAAATGTACCACAACAAAGCAGATTTCTTTTTATTTTGTTTCATATTGTCAAAAACAGAGAAAACCATGACAAAAATAATTTCTCTACCTATATCACTTACATCATACGGTAGAACTAGGGATGGAATGTCACATTTCCATTCACATTTGATAGAAATATTCTTATAAATAAATAGGGTTCTCTTTAAAGTCTCTGGAGTGAGGATGCTAATTTTCAACACGTGCCTATGGAATGAAGAGGATCCAAGATAATGAAATATATTAAAATGTCCAAGAGAAAAAGTCTTTTATGATAAGGAATGTGGAAAGGACTATGCAAATTGCCTTTTCCACACACTCATCATTCCCTACAAAGTCTCTTCGAGTCCTGCAGGGTCCTGCTTAGTGTTTCTAAAGCACCTTCATGCATGTTGCTTAGTTGCTTGTCATATCAATTTATGATTGTGCTACCGTTGCTACAAATCCACCTCTTCAAAAGGTGTGTAGATAATTTGCACATTTTGCAAATGTCTTTTTATAAATGTCTCTTTTAATGCAAGCATCAGCTTATTTCCCTTATCTTTCATAGATGAAGAGAACAAATGAAGATACAAGAGCAGATGTGATGTCACAGAAACTCATCCACTGCCGCCCCCTATGATTCGGGGCGAGCAGAAACAACAGGCATGGAGAGGGACCGCACTTCTTCACCTCAGTGAGAAATTACAAAAGAGTTCAGTCCCCTCAGCTCCGGTGGGTTTCTGGATTTACCTTTGACCCTCGCCTACGCAACCGCTCCCTGCTAGGGCTATAAAAAAGCATAGCAGGGCGAGCTAAGCGTGAACTTTAAACCCTGATGGCATGGTCAGGATGCCCACGGTAAGCCTCGGCATGGCAAATGCACGGTAAGACGTCGCACAAACGTTTAGTCGTTGCTGTGCTCTTCTAGCTGTGACAGAATGCTGATGAGATTCTGCAGGCCGAAGATGTAGCCGCTGTCTCCACCTTCATGGACGATGCCGTCCTCTCCATAATCACGACATGTCGTGTGGGCGAAATCGATCATTCGGACGTCCACCATTGGTGAAACGCTGCTGGAGTGATCGTGACGCCCACCGTAAGCTCCCTCCTCATCGTCGTCCTCATCTTCATCATCGTCCTCCTCATCTTCCTCCTCTCCTCCACGAGAGGGCCGGGATCTAGATGGGGCAGGGGGTGGAGCCCCGTCATAGATGATGAGAAGAGAGGAGGAGAAGAAACGATAGCTTTCGCAAGCCTCCAGCACCGCTCTCATCTCTCTCAGTCTTTGCAGCACTGGGGTCAGAAGTTCTCTGCGCAGAACTCGGCCGTCACTGAAGAACTGGCACAGAGCCTCTTTGAACCCGGCCAGACTCAGCTTACGCCCGTGATACTTATTCATGAATATCAGCTGCCCTGTAGCGCTGTGATACTCCTATCAGGGGAAATACAGATCGGAATTACACTTAGGGTTGTACTAATCACTAAAACAAAGACATACCCAATGTGAATCTTTGTGGCACGTACGTGTCTGTAGACTTTTTAGAAGATGTGTAGTTACCTGCATGCCACAGAGGCGTACTCCAATAGAAGAGGAAGTGCTTTGTTGGCATTTGCGAATCTGATTTGCTTTCTTCTCCTCAGAGGCATCGTCCCCATGCTGACGTGTTCCCATCTTCAGATCAAGAACGCATGGGACCCGGTACCGCCATGTTAGATTTTCCAGCAGAATAAATTCTGAGAGAGGTCATGGGTCAAGGGAAAAAGTACTACAAAGATGCATTTTTAATTGTATAAATTAGCATGTCTTACAAGATGTTATGCCTGTGTCATCATTATAAGTTTGTCCACTTGTTAAAAAGGATACTGTGCTGGTTTCTGTGTTTGGAGTTCTCCTTCATCCTCTGTAGGTGTTGCTGGTGACACTGTAGACTCCAAGGGTTGTGTTTGATCTGAGGAACCACATTTCCTTTCTCCAGACTGTAGTACAAAACCTCTGCCTTATCATCCCGATTACTGCAGAGATCAGAGGAGAAAGGCTTTACAAATTACTGTCATCATGTGCATGTGTGTGTGCCAAATATTGAATTATATGATAAGGATGTGCATATAACTGTTCAAAAGTCTGGGGTTTGTAAAATTTTGCAATGTTTTCAAAAGAAGTCTCTTGTGCTCACCAATGCTGCATTTATTTGATCAAAAAAATTACAGTAAATACTGTGAAATATTTTTACAATTTAAAATAACTTCTTTGCGTTTCAACAAATTTTAAAATGTAATTTACACCTCTGATGGCAAATCTGAATTTTAAGCAGCCATTACTTCAGTCTTCAGTGACACACGATCCTTCAGAAATCATTCTAACATGCTCATTTGCTAATCAAGAAACATTTATTTTTATCAGTCTTGAAAAAATTTGCCTAATATTTTGTGGAAACCGTGGTACATTTTTTCAAATGTTTTCAAAATGTTTTTGTAAGAATTTTCAAGTCTTAACTGGAATTTTTCATCAATTCAATGCATTTTTGTGAATTAAAAGTATTAATTTCTTTAAACAAAAAATCACACTGACCCCAAACTTTTGAATGGTAGTTAATTAGCCATGTGACCTCCATTACCTTTTGCCCTTCTCCTCTTTGCGGCTCTGTCTGGCTCTCTCGCTTTCTGGTAGTAGGCCTGATGGTTTCTTTTTCCCCCACTTAAGCTTATTCTTGGGCTCTCCATCAGCAGAGGGCTCCTTGTTTTCCAAATCAGCTGGATCACTGTGGAGTGGGTACGCTATCAAACACAGATTCCCCTCCTCATCTTCCTCAAAACTCACCGACACCACACCTGGAGAGAACATGAGGGAAAGAAAGAAAAAGAGAGACAATGAGTACACTGGAGGTTGTATTGACACATAAACAACATATGATTCAGATATGACGAATCATATGATTATAAAATGTAGTTCTTACCCAATCCGGCTTATACTGTACTTTAATAAGCATAAAACATAAAAGAGAAGCAGAGGGTTGAGAAGGGAATGAATTTGTATAGACAGTGAATATTCAACACCGTCATGTAAATGTGAGCGTGTGGGAGAGAGTTTTGCATGCCTTCTAGTGCTAAGCAGAAAAAGACACACAAAAAACACAGGAGGCAAGAAAGTACAATTCAATGAGCTCTTTTATTACCACTCATTGGACAAACCATCTGCAATATTCCCACATTAGATATCAAATACAGATGAGAAGCATATGACAACTTCATAGTCTGAGCTTTACAGAAACTGTGTCACTGAAATTTACAGACAGCAACGATTTGGAAAACTGCACTGGTACATTCAGTATACAGATGAATACATAACATACAAAGCAAAAATATACATATACAGAAGTGTGGCATGTGGCCTAAGATCTGATTTATGGTGGTATCTCATGATAACCATAGATGGAACTAAGCATCACAAGGGGATTATGGCTGGTTGAGTGGGGTAGGGGGTAAAGACAGAGAAAGAAAGAGAACAGCAAAACATTTTCAGCATTGAATGGCATAATAAGCATTAAAAAACAAATTATTCTTATCACAAAACACAAGCTTTAACTGCTGAAACCTGTCTGTGTTGTTTGCGTGTAAGTACATGGTGCGAGTTTCAGGCACTAGGACCCCGCAGAGCCTCAACCTCTGCAGTCATGGTAGAACGATGACATCAATAGCAGTGATGTCACGTCTCTGCACCAACGCTCAAACACACTTTGGCTTATACTTGCGGAGTCAGAGAACATGCGTGGTTAGTTTCGTTTAGTGTGTGTCAGGCTTTATGGCGAGTAAGAAAAACAGCTGAGCCTTATAATTGTGAAAGAGACGAGCATGTTTGTATTTAAGTATTGTTAAGTATGCACAAGCTTTTTTTTAGTACTAAACCCCTGCCCAGTCAATGACACCACAAGAGATGCCAGTGTGTCTGTATGCGTGAGTGTGTTTAAATATATCAGACTAAAAGAACTGAACATAAATCTGAGTGCCCAAAAGTGTTATGAGTAAGAGTGTGCATGTCTTATAACTCTATGTATATATGTATCTATCCAAATTTCTTTTCATCCATCTATCTATATCTATCTATCAATTTAAATCTCATTCAAAAAGGGTCATCCAATCAGTTACCGCATATGAAAGTGTGTGTGGCCTTGTTATAGGAGTCACGCTGCACTGTAGGAAATAAGTGCAACTTATTCATATAAATTCTTCATAGCAATGATTTAAAGCACTCCTTACGCAATTTTATGCACAGAGTGAAAAAGAAAGCAAGAGAGAGGAAGGAATACTATCATACACAATAGCACATAAACAAGAAAGTGGCTTATTGGTTGTAATGGTTATGTTCTGTTAAGTGTCCACTTACCTTTGTACTGTGGCGTGAATTTGCGGATCTCGGGTGGCAGGCTCTTGTAAAACTGGTGTTCTCTGGGTATTAGTGGTTTACAGATGGTCTGTTCCCCAAACCGCAGTACACAAGAGTGGCCGCCGACTTGATGGACAAATGGTTCCAACATCACTCCTCCCTTCATTTCTTCTTTCCCTGGGTATCTACACCCCTCCATCAGCGCTTCTAAAGCCGGACTCATCTTCTGTACACATCTGTCTCTCTCAGGCTGATCTATAGCTTTCTATTTGTCTGTCTGTCTACTCTGTTGTTCCCGTTTCCTTGGTGGCAGTTCAGGCACAAAAGGCTGAGAAAACCAAACAAAAAGAAAAATATTCCTGTTTTTTCCTGTTAAAGGAATACGGAAATAGTAATCCAGAAGGAGTTATGTTATAATAATGTTTTTTTCCTAAGCGTAGAAAGGTTAACACGGTGGACAGACTGTGAGAGCGTGTCTGTCTCTGTCTCTGCTGTAACTGAGAGATCTGTTCTAAGCAGGCAGGAAAAATATTACAACAGGTCACATGGTTCCACCCCCCTCCTGAAACTCAACCAATCAGAGCACAGCAGCTGTTGTTGGGTTGGAAATGAGAAAAAGGAAACTGAACAAAGGGAAAGGAAATAGTGATGGGAAGTTCGGTTCTTTTCCGCGAACCGGTTCTTTGAAAGCGAGAGAGAGAGTGCGAGAGAGAGATATACGTGGGGGTTGTTGGAGTTAAAGACCAAAACAAAGAGATATGAGGAATGAGGAAAGGAAAGAGAAAGTACACTGTCGTTCTCCACAGTTTTCTCCTGCTTGATTAGGAAACTGAGAGACAGCTGAAACATGGAAAATATAACCAGATGTTCCAAGTCTGTATTCACAACGCACAGAGAAGGGGATGTGTTCCACTAGTCTTCAGGATAGCAGTCAATACGAATTTCTCAATGAGTAATTCATCACATTTTACCTTTGGTGCCCTCAATCTTAAATGTTTTGGTTACATCCTTGGAATTCACCATGTTTTAAAGCTTAAAGCTCAATACTTACGTACACTAGGGTGTGCCTACAGTGTTTGTGACTTAAATATTGTCATCCGAATAGTACGTGCGCTTAGATTTCTCTAAGTGCAAGCAATCTGTAAAATAATAGTCATGGAAAAACAATAGACATGGAAAAATAATACATTTTGTTCATGTACTTACTACCGACATTGCAACAATACAAAGTTGGTTAAAAGTCAGTGAACTTACCCTTGAAGTGTGCAAAATATAATGACTTCTTCAAAAGTTTCCTGAACATTGCTTCCACTGGATTCAGACGAACAGATAGTCCCGTCCCAAACTCACATTACTGGTTGATTCAATTTATATTAAAGGGGTCATATGATGCGATTGCGATTTCAATTTTTCCTTTCTCTTTGGAGTGTTACAAGCTCTTGGTGCATAAAGAAGATCTGTAAAGTTGCAAAGACTAAAGTCTCAAATCCAAAGAGATATTCTTTATAAAAGTTAAAAGTCAACCACGCCTACCTAAAACGGCTCGTTCTAACACGCCCCCACATACCTACGTCACGATCTGGGAAAATTTGCATAACGCCGCCCAAATGTTAACGCAAAGAAAGAAGGAGTAACTTTTATTCTCGCTGTAATATTGAAAAGTGAAAAGTGAAAAAGTGAAAAGTGACGTGACATGTGGCCAAGTATGGTGACCCATACTC